CAATTTTTCAATTTGGGCATGTAATATGTGATAAGGCTCTAGACAACATTTCTAGAGTCATTTTCAGATAAGTAATTCAAAAAACACAACGGTGAGTGTAAAAAACGTAGAGGAAAGGTGTTATGACTGTTTTTCGTTAACGACCCGTTTTTGTGGATTTTGCAACCTTTCTCTATTTTGCTTTTTTCACCACGAAAACTTTGTTGAAACAACAAAATAAGGTCATATTCGGAATCAACGTTCGTCATTTACAAAGTATAAATCTTTATACGGTTTTATCAAGTTGATAAGACTCAAATATTTTTTACTGTTTGTTTGTTCTACTTCTTGCACATCTACTAAACAAATAAAGAACCGTATACTTATTCTTCTGGACCCCCTCACCTTTAAGCATTGTTTCTCTTTTGCTGGTAAACAAAATTATCATAAAATATACTGTTTTTTAAATCATAGAAAAAGGTAAAATGTCTAGAAGTGATAATAACCTTAAATATTTCTTCACCATTCAGGCTTTTCTGCTTTTATATGATTAATCATTGCATAAGACATTGTTTGCTTAAAAAAAGTAAAACATATTATGACTATCGTACCTAGTCATTTTTCATTTATCGCCTCGTTTCATTTAGTGAAGAAAAATAAGAAGAAAAGAACGGGAAAAGGTCGGTTAGTTTCAAATAATCAGTTAGGTAGAAACTTTTATTGTGCTATTGGTTTCGTACCACGGACCGAAAAGAACCTGACAAAAAAAAAATGGAATTGAAAAATGCAATAAAGTCTTATTTTACGTGTTTGTCGAAAAAAATAAAAAGTATATACAATACAAAAATACGACAAGGACAGGAACACGAACATTGATTTTTACCATTGAACAACAGAGTTAGGAAACAATAAATAATTATAGATTTAGACGATAATGTTGAATCTATACTATTAACAAAAGTAAAAATCAAAGGTCATAGAACACAACAACAAATTAGGCCAGAATAACAAATAAAGTCTACCATAACAACAGTTCGAAAAGTAGGAACAGAATTAGTTTTTGGTTGGTCAAAAAGGATTAAACTTTTTTCCCTTCTCCCCAGTTTGCTCATAAGAAATTGTCTGACAGAAAAGTTTTTAACTTTTTTCTACCAAAAACTAAATCGATTCTCTCTTGAATTAATTTATCTCTCTTGAAGTAATTTCAGTGACGGATGATCTTCCTATAGAAAATTGTTTAAGGCGCCGCTAATTCAAAAAGATACCGCTATTTTATTTTCAGTTAACTTACACATTCACTCTGGTCAACCAGAAACTATCTGTTCGTACTTTTCGAACTGATGTTTTAGATTCAACAACATCATCTAAATCCACAATCATTTATTGTTTTCTAACTCTGTTATTAAGCTTTAATTAACTTTTGTCTTGTATTAATTTTTCCACTATGTAGATGGCTATCCGAATCGCTCTGCTTGATCCAGCGCGTACTTATGAACACAAACTTAGTGATTTGCCTGTTGGTGGCAAAATGATTAGACAGTTCCACAACAAAAATGATTTTCTTCGCTTCATGTACCACACACCACTTAATTCAAACGATGAAACTGTCTCATTTATTCTACCCGAAGCAGTGGCCCAAGATGAAGTTACTAAACTGCAGCAGTACATTTCGAGTTCACAATTAAGTCCCGTTAATATCTATGTGTATAGAACGAATGATACGAGTACAGTGAATGACGGTGGATTGCAAATGCGACGAACATCATTCACTCAAGAATCATTATATGGCTGCAACATTGTTCGAGATATATTCGATGAAAGTCAATTGATGGAAAAACTGCAAGGTTTAATAAGTCAGCTGCCCGATTTGAATCAAGTCAATAGTAACTATGACATTTATTCAGAAAACTATTGTTAAAATATAGAAATTAAACTAAGTAACCAGTAAGATTTTTTCCAAGAATAAATTAGAAGACTAATGGATAAATGTAAAATTTTCCTTCTGCGTAGGAATTTCCAGTTTATATCAGGTAACTGTATTCGAGATTTGTATCAGACGAACATGCAGTTACCTTCTTTTGGATGATTCGTTGCCTGCGTAAACCAGAAAGAAAATAAGCATCTTCCTTCCACGACTACAAAAAATTTTTTTCTATCAATAATGCAATGAAGAAATGAAAACATCAATATCCCATCAACATTTCAAGTTTTGTGCGAACAACTGGTTTTTTTCTGTTTTTTTTTCTTCTCCTTTTCCTGTTTTGTAATAAATCACGAATACTGCTTTGAGAATTGCTCAATAATAACGCAAAAAAGATTGTATGAACGCACGCTTTTTGTTGCACTTTGGAGGATTACAAAGCTTCGTATTTTTGTCACTGCGTCGCAAAGAATACTCTAACCAATGAGAACATTCTACAATAAATACAGACTGTCATGCTCTATCAAAT